AAAAAAAAAGAAAAGAAAAGTCTGTTAAATATTCTAAGCCTTTAGGCCAAAGATGGCTACCCAATATTGGAGAGGAATCTTGGGTGACTGTCCAGGCAACCAGCTGTCTCTGTCATTTCTAACATTTCTGGAAGTTGCTTGCTTGCGCTTCATGCTTACTCACTTATTATTTCCTTCTCAGGTCTCTGAGGAAGTTGAAGACTAGATAATTATGATTTTCCTTGCTTACCAAACTCAGATTTAAAAAAAAAATCACGGTCTGGAGACATAGCCCAGAGGTTTAGAGCACTGGCTGCTCTCCCAAAGGTCCTGAGTCAATTCCCAGCAATCACATGGTGGCTCACAACTATCTGTAATGAGGTCTGGTGCCCTCTTCTGGCCTGTAGGCATACACGCAGACAGACAGAATATTGCATACATAATAAACAAACAAACAAATAAATAAATATTTTAAAAAGAAAAAAAGAAAAAAAAAGTCTCTCAAAAGCCTGGTTGCACTGCTTCTCTGATCTCTCAGCTCTCAACCCCTAACATCTGCCTCCGCACTTTTATTATTAAAACCAATTAGAGTTCGTGCTACAAGGTAGGATCAAATAATACTTGATATCACAATGTACTGAATGCTTATTTATGTTATAATATGTCAGAATTCTCTTCCTAAGACTAAACAATCTTTAACGACACGCACATATTAATTTTAAACCTTCTTGTTACTGTAACACTACTATTAACTGGTACAGTTACAACTGGGAATAAAACCGCCTCTTTTGAGATCCTGCTTTCCATTTCTTTCGATATGTGCCTATAAGTCAACTTGCTAGATCACACAGTTAATTTTTTTTTATGATTTTTGACAGCAATTTATTGATCACTTAGTTATCTGAGCGCCAGACGGCACTCGAACTCGGGTCCTCTGGCGGAGCGTTAGGCACTCTTAGCCTTTGAGTCACCGCTCGGGCTGCTCCACACAGTTAATTTTATTGTCAATTTTCTCACCAGCTGCTATGCCATTCTCCACAGCAGCTATAAACTTTACAGTCCTAACCAACATCACACAAAGGTTCTCGATTTTCATCAAATCCTCACCAATATGTGCAATTATGATTATTTTGTGATTTGTTTGTTTTGAAATAATGAGGATCAAACTCAAGAACTCAAGCATAAGAAGCAAGGGTTCTACGAGTGAGCTATATCCTAGTTCAATGATTTTATGAAGGAAATTACACATCTGGTCCCCTGAAGCTGGAGGTTCTAAGTTTGTAGGTCCAGCAGACTGTGTATGTGAGGAAACACCTTTTTCTTGTCTCCAATCCCTAAACAGAACAGTATTACAACTACCTATATAGTGTTTATCTTGTGTTGCACATTGTAAGTAATCTAAATGTTTTAAAGTAGACAGAAGATGTGTACAAGCTACATAAAAACACAATGTCATTTTATGTAAGGGACTTGAGCATCCATGGATTATTTTGTATCATTGAAGGTTGTAAAAACTAATCCCTAGGGCTGGAGAGAGGGCTTGGAGGTTAAGAGCTGTGGCTGCTCTTCCAGAGGATCTGGGTTCAAGTCCTAGCACCCACATGGCAGCTCACAGCTATGTGCAACTCCAGTTCCAGAGGATCTGATGACACCCATGGTAAAGAACCAATGCACATAAAATAAAAATACGGGTGCTCAATGACAGAGCAACTGATAAACAGCTACAAAGCCCTATATCTGTTCTACAATACTAAACTAAAAAAAAAAAAAATTACCAAGTCAGTTAATCATTTCAATTTTCCAATTTGTTCATATGATTAGAATTCTTTAACTAATTTCCCCATAAACTGTCATGCTTCTTATGAAATGCTGGCAAGCAAAGAGTTAGAACGATGACTCAAAACACCTTACCATTTGGTACATTCACATTTGTGTTATCTAATTTTCTTTTCAAAACCATATTACGCATGTAGACTTCAAAATAATAAACTTATAAAGGAAATATTTACCTGTCTACAACAATAAGCTTATCTTTATCTAAGCATTTTTTTTCAAAGTGAAAACAATTTGTACTCTTAACAAGGATATTTTCATTTCATTTGGTTTAACTGCTACATATTTAGATAGCTTTAGGTCTGAAAATACAGAGTCTGAGCATCCAAGGTAAACTTATAAAGGAAATATTTACTTATTTAAAATAATAAGCTTATTCTATATTTTTATTTAAATATTTTAGAAGTGAAAACAACTCGTAGCCTTAATAATATTTTCATTTCCAATTTTGGTTTAACTGCTACATATTTGGGTAGCTTTAAGTTCTAAAAACAAAGAGTCTGAGTATCAAGGATAAACAGGATACAGAGTACCTTTCTTCAACATAGGACATTCATATGTAATTTTTTTCAACACAGTACCCATGTGGTATTTGCTCTCACAGTATAAGTATTATAATTCAATTTTTTTAAGATTTATTTTTTTAATTTATATGTATGGGTGTCTTGCCTGTGTGTCTAAGCCTGTTTAGTTGTCAGTCACCAAGTGGGTGCTGGGAATTGAAAGCAAGAGCAGCCAGTGCTCTAAACCACTGAGCCAAGTCTCCAGCCTTTTTAATACCATTTTTAAAGCTGACATGTTTTGTTTCTTTTCTAGTCACTCTATTCTGACACCTTGAGAATTCCAATCTTTTGATTTTTTAATGCTTAGGCAGAATGGAAGAAAATGTAAAAACAGTATACATTTTTCTAACTAAAGATCTGGTCTCGTACAGTGACTGGACATAATTATTAGCACAAAACTGAGATAGTTAATATTAGGGTTATTTTTGACTGCTGACACACCATACATTGCTGGAAAGAAAAAAATAAGTGAAACATTTTAGACAGCTTTAGAAGCATTAGTTACATGAATACTTGCTTCTGATACAATACCTGGTGATGCCTCACTGTGCTTTTCAATTTCAGAGAGTGTCCCAATCAAATTATGGTCTTCTATCACATTTAAATAAGATAAAACATTGCAGGGAAAGAAAACATTTTCAAGAAAGAAGAAATTTCAAAACAACAACCTCAAATCTAAACAAAGCTTAATAATCCTAACAAAGAAAGAACTGTTTAGGTGAACCGAAGATCATCTGGTGTAAAAGCTCAGCATCCATCTGTTTTGCCTGCATCATCTCTGCCACTTGCCACTGGATCTCCTATTGCCAACATTAGGAACTAAAACAATAATCAAATACATACCAGCTCAATCAGCTTAGCATTGTCATCACAAAAGAAAACCTTCTGAAACTGGCACATCAAACGAACTGCATGCATCCCAGAACAAATGCAAATGCAGCCCAACACGTTTATAGATCACAGCACCGTGTAGATGTCAAAGAGCTGGATATCCCCACAGACAACGAAAAAAACTATAATTTATTTTGGTTATTCAAGCTACATGATGAATTTCCAGTAGGGCCAATCTATTCTTAGAAATAAAGATTTTGTGGAAATAAAATTAAGAAAACCACACACAAAAATAAGGTTATTCATAAAAGAAAATAATTATTAGTTATCCTCAATTACATAAATTTAAAACACAAAAATGCTATGTAAAACGCAGTGTGAAATAAGACGGTAGTGTCAGACTTAAACATTTAGAAATCAAACCATTTACACTTTCTTCTAGCCTATACTACTTATGCTATTTTTATAATCGTCAAACAGACAAGATGCATTTCTTATAAGTAAGTTAGGACAAATTAAAATGGATTTAATTAAATTAGCTTAATTATAGGTATCGCTCACAAACAACATGTATCATAATCACCTGAAAAGCATGTAAAAGCTTGGTCCCCACTCCTGGAGTGTCTGACTCTAAATGTCTACATTTCTCTTAGTACCCAGATGGCATAGATGTTGTAGAACTAATACCAGCACAAGCAAAAGGACCAGCTTTAACTGTGATGGAAACAGTTGCACCTGAAACAGCTGGGACTATGTTTGTTCTTAACAATGATATGAATTAGAAAAATAATTTTAAAGAAATTAGAGAGAGAAGGCTGGAGAGATGGCTCTGAGGTTAAGAGCACTGGTTTCTCTGTCAGCGGTCATGAGTTCAATTCCTAGAAACCACATGATGGCTCACAACCATGCATAACAAGATCTGGTGCCCTCTTCAGGCACGCAGGCATAACATGTAGGCAGAACACTGCATACATAATACATAAATCTTTTTTAAAAGGGGGGGGGCGTGATGAGAACATATAAAAATCCTGATCAAGGAAATAAGCTAAAAAATTCTTGAGTAAACAATAGCTGTAGTAAAACATTGCTTTTGTTTGCGAAGGTTTAGGTTATATAAATAATTTCAGTCTAGTAATTATCTTTAATACTTGTAATATATTCCTTTAGAAATAATTAGATCAGCATAAGCACCCAACACTTTCACTGAGTAAAAAGTTACAAGAAATTATTTTCAAACACAAACTTCCTTTTTAAAAAAAATATTTAATTATTTTATTCAGTGTGTATGCAAGTGTATGTATGCATATGTAAAACACTGGTAAATTAATCTGACTCTGTCAGGATCCTTCAGAAATGGAGCTACAGGCAGTTGTGAACTGGTATGTAGATGGAAGCCTCATCTCTCTACTAGAGCAATTAGGCACTCTAAGCAGTGAACCACTTCTCCTACCCTCAAAACACATACTTTTTAAAGAATGAAAATGTCAGTTCAAAGTAGAATTGACTGCCATTGTACAATATTCCCTTAACAATGAATACTGACCAACAGTTTACAAAATGACCAATTCTCAATAGTTTCAGCTACAGTTAAAATACTCCTACTCAGAAAATAAGGACTAAAACAGAAGAGAAAATGGTATCAGTCTTACAATTATATTTCCAGAAAAACAAAATTTCCAATTTTAAATTCTTTACTTCCCAATAGAGGAGAAGAGGGAAAAAAGTGTGTGTGAGTGTGTGTGTGTAAATATACCCTTTGTATGCTGACTTTCATAACCAACAACAGCCACTTACCAACTGTTGGAGTATTGGCAGCACTCAGTGACGCAGATGAAGAGATAGAAGAAGAACTCTCTGCCCGGGCTAAGGGAGCGGTAGGGGGTGGGCTGGTGTTGGAAGTTACAGGTGGGCTGAATGGCCTAGGCTTAAAAACAAACAGTTATTTATTAAAATGCTAAAGCAAGATTTTCTTTGTCAGAGAAATTTTTTTAAGTCATAACAAATCAAATAATTTTATCATGAGTTTCTTTTACCTATGTATTAGATATTATGTCAAATCACTTCCAATAATATACTGAAACCTGATAAGGCTCTTTTAAAACAATGTTTTCAAGGTTTTGGGCATAAAATATTCTCTGTATTTCAAAAATCAGACATACTATGGTACTCAGAACTGAAATGAAAGTCCTTCATATCTACCATCGAACAGCCTTCCAGAGATTATGTACATGATAATTTCTATAAATATGAGATTAGTTCTCTGTTCCCTGTTATCAATAGTAGGCGAGTCACAGAATAAGGAAACACAAATTGCAAATGTTCTAGTTAATACATATTAGAAAGGCATATTTTCACGGTTGTTTGTTTTCTAACTTTTATTGTTTACTATGTTTATAGGAAATTGGTATGTGGGAGCCAGATAAGGATATTGATCCTCTGGGCTGGAATTACAGATGGTTGTGCTAGGAACCCAAGTCTTGTGCCTCTGCAAAAGCTGCAAGCTTTCTTAACTATTGAGTCATCTCTCTGGCCACTGTATTTTCATTTTTATGAATGTTTTTGAAAGATATTATTATTTGAACTTTTACTAACGCTTAATATTATTTGTTGCAATATTTTCCTCTGTAAATGTTGCTTGTCCCTTACTTTCTATATTTACAAATCTGTTAACATTTTCTTTTGTAATTTTTACAATACCTCCTTATTAAGAAAGCTAGAGCAAACAAAGGTTTGAGAAAAATCTTAATTTTGTTGTTTCCTTGTTTAAAAGAGGTCAACTAGAAAGTAACATATAAAAATCAAACAGAGAAAATATATCTCCAATTCTTTTATCTTTTGCATTGGTAAGTGGATTTTTTCTTTCCAAATTAATTGTTCCAATAATACACTAGCAATACTTCCTACAGTGTACTATTTGTTTTTAAAAACATACTTAGCCTAATTAAAAATGTCACTCCCTGCTTAAAGAAGCAACAACAACAAAAAGGTAACTATTCTCACTTACAAGACACCAAAAACAAACATAAAATCATGTGAGTATTTACATACTAAATTAATCAAATCTTCATTATATTAACAAAAACTTGCAGGCATAAAAATAAGACTTTACTATATAAAGTACTTTACAATTTGTAACCAGCCCCCCACTAGTAATTGTTTTTAAGCATCTTTTTTCCTTGGGTACAGCTTGCTTTTTCTTTTTTTCCTCTTCTTTTTTTTTTTTTTGGTTTTTCAAGACAGGCTTTCTCTGTGTAGCCCTGCTTTCTAATGACTCATCAATCACTACAGGTAATAGGTTGAAAAAATACAGCAGGCAACTGTATATTTATACAGAAAAGAGGTACAGATACTGTTCCAAAGTTAAAAACCTGGAAACATCCTTCAGTTCAACTACTTTGGGGAAATGTCTCCAGAGGCAAAATGATCTTATAGCTACTATAATATAGCTGAATTTTTTTTTTTTTGAGACAGGGTTTCTCTGTAGTTTTTGGTGCCTGTCCTGGAACTAGCTCTTGTAGACCAGGCTGGCCTCGAACTCACAGAGATCCGCCTACCTCTGCCTCCCGAGTGCTGGGATTAAAGGCGTGCGCCACCACCGCCCGGCCATATAGCTGAATTTTTACAGTGCATTTTACAATTCTTAATGGAAAAGGAAAAGTGTTTATTTTTTCTAAGTGATTTTCTCTTGCTATCCAATTATCCAACACAGTCACCATAGAATTTGGCATTCTGCTAGTGCAAACAGAGATGTGTTGTAAGTATAAAAGGGAACTTTGAAGATAGTGTACATGTTAAAAATGCAAAAATCTCAAAAACTTTTATTATGTATATTAAAAATGTTTTGCAATACTAAGTAAAAGATAAGATGGATTTCTGTGCTTTTACTACAAGAAAATTTAAAAGTTTGTATGTTGCTGTACATATTCCTCTTGGGTGGAACTGCTCTAAAACAATGGCTGTTAAATATTAGTGTATGCTAATGGAAGACTTCTCTACACTCAAACTGACTGACCACTCCCTGAATTCCTGATTTGTCTGGGTACGGCCACAGACCATTTCTACTGAGTTCCCAGGCTGTACTAATGCTGCTGGTCTGAGACACCATCTGAGGTAACTATTATAAGACAATGAAGGTTTCCTTGGGACAGACAGAGAGGGCGCCATTCTATAGTGGTCAATGAGACAACAATCCTCAAAAGTCTAAAGAAGTTGAGATGCCTTTGGGGACTGAATGACCCTTTCACAGAGGTTGCATCAGATTATCCTGCATATCAGATATTTATATTAAGAATCATAACAGTAGCAAAATTTCAGTTATGAAGTAGAACAAAAATAATTTTACGGCTGAGGAGTCACCACAACATGAGGAACTTCACTAAGAATTGCAGCATTAGAAGGCTAAGAAACACTGACCTAAAACGTGTATACCATTTAGTTCAAGAATTTCATTGTAAAAATCACTTAATAAGGAAATACTGAAATGTCTACAAAGCAAAGCTATACTAAGTTACTATATTAACAAGAACTTAGAATTATCAAATTTCTAAAATCTTTAGGACTATAATTCTACAATGTAGACTTAAACAATGAAATACTCTATAGCTACTTGACATGTTGCTTCCTGAAGTCCCTGAAGTAGTTTCTAGAAAGATCTCAAGGAAGAAAGTTGATGGAAGTATTCAACTATGAATTCATTTTTAATGATTTTAATTACTTGACACAGGATTCTACTACTTGACTATAAAGAATTCACAATAAAGACAATTCCAAAATACTTTAAAGTAAAAACAATAAAAATATATAAAATATATATATGCTTCATAACAACTTTTTGAGCAATCAATCACCTGTATATAACATCCTTACAGTTTTATATACGTTAAAGTCACTTAAATCTTACAAAACCAATTTTTATTTTCATCTTTCCTGGACACCTCACTAAAACTTGTCTAACACTGAACAGCTAATATGCCTGTCCTTATAGTAACTGTTAATCTACCGTCTCTGGTCAAATATTTATGCATTAGGAAAACAATGAAAGGATATATATTAAATTGTTAACTCAGCTATCTTTGGTAATACATGTGATTCAAATTTTTCTGTGTTTTTTAAATTTTCAAACATGTTTAAAGGTTAAAAAAAAACAAACCAAGTTTTATAATAATAAAAAAAAAAGTTAAGACTTAGTGATTCTAGTCAAGCACTTTAATCCCAGTGCTTGGGAGTTGGAGGCAGCGATCTCTGTGAGTTCAAGGCCAATCTAGTCTACAGAGTGAGTCCCAGACAGCCAGTGCTACACAGAGAATCCATCTCAGAAAAACATGAATGAATGGATGAATGAGTATACAGACAGACAGAAACACTTAGTGATTCTTAGACTGTTTAAATTATAGCTATCTCCTTGGCAGGTTACTTCTAGTCTTCTCTCATTTTCAGTAAGTCAGTTCATGGGGACAAGAAATGAAAGAGGCTGCCATTTTAAAGTGGCCCTCCATTCAAAGTACATTTTCAATCTATGTACTGGGCTTTATTCAATATGAACATGAAAGGCTAATACATAATCCAGTAGAGGGAACAGATATCACAGTATGATATGCACAGTTACTAACAGAACTACAAGCCAAGTGTATGGCAGCAAGCAGAGAAAAATACAATCTGTTGGAAGAATAACCACCAGGCAGCTGACGGATAGCTAGGTCTTAAAGAAAAAGGCCATTTTTGTCTCAGAGAAAACTGTCACTTCAAACAAAGGAGTATAATAAGAAAACATGGATGTATCAAATAGCATGAACCAGCTCAATGGTAATGTGAGGGTACACATGTCATGATGGGGCCCAAAGTTCAATCCTATCTCCTTAGAAGAACACAAAAGAAAAAAACACAGAATATAGTGTTTGGAGAATACCTGAAAGTTTTGAGTGGCTGGAAAGATAGGAAAGGGGTGGCTGGGATGTGATGCAGGCTACTGAGACAACTTTATAAAGTATCTTCTACATTCAGCTAAAATACTCCAGAAGGGAGAAAATAAAATAAGCTTGGCTTTCAGAAATGTAACTACGGTGATTAAACAGCAAGGAATGTGAAAGATGAAACAAAGGAGAGGACACAGAGGCACGAAGGTTGGCTTGGGACTCACCGAGTAGAGACCACAGATGTTCCTGCCATTACTGATTGCTTGTGAAAGCCAGTGCTTCCTATTACTTTGTACTTTTATGTCAGCTAACTGCTTTGGACTTGTCTCCTACATATAAAAATAAAGCTAGAATAGACAGATGCCCCCTGGGAATCTCCTAACAATAAGGTCTAAAACATACCACATTTTCTTTCTTTTATATTAAACTAAGGCAGAATTACACAAACTTGCCTATTTTGAGTCAATAGACACCATCTTGTGTAATATGCCAACTTTTTAAAAGGCAATCTGTCCTCTTAGGCAGTGTGTTGCTTTTCTAGTATGATTTTCAGACTTTATAAAAGAGAGACAAGTATGAGTGAAGAAACTTCTTATTCTTTAAGGACTTTAGAAAAAAGCATTTAACTAAGCAGGGGCATAGAGAAAAATATCTATCTTAGGTCAAAACAATTATACAACTTTTAGGGACTGGTGTGGTGGCAGAGGCAGGTGAATCTTTGTGAGTTGAGGGCAGTCCGCCTACATAGTGAGTACCAAGACATCAGGGCTATACACTGAGACCCTGTCTCAAAAACAAACAAATCCAAAATAGTTATATAATTTTAAAAAATGTGAATACATACTATTTCAGTAATCCCACTCAGTTTGCCTGAAGTAAGCTTTGGTCTGGAAGCAGGCCTTGGAGGTGGAACAATGGTGCCTATAGAAAGAGGAGTTGTGGGTCTGGCTGAGGGAGAGAAAAGAGAACTTGAAGAAAATCATTAGTATGTAGTAATCCTGGATAAAGACAAAAGAGCTGTTAGAATCCAAAGACCATTCTTCAATTGTGTTAATATAACTAAGGGGATCTGCTGAAACAGTGAAAAATCTACCCATCAGGTATCCTTTTATCAAAGTTACTGCTAATATTCACAATATTACTGAAAACAATCATTAAACTTTCCAATAAACCCGACAAAGACATTTTGTTCTTGTTTCAATTATTTTATACATATAAAAATTAAATCTGATAAGTCAGTTGATTAAAAACCCAATTCAAATTCAAAGGTAGTTTACTAAAACACATCTAATTCACAGAGACTAACTAATACGAGTGCAAGGCTTTCCAGCTCGGCCTTCAAATTAATGTGAATGTCAAAACACACTTATCCTTAATTAAACTTTGCAATCTGACTTAAATAGAACCTCATTGTAATATTCTTCGAATAATGAAAAGCATTACAAATGCTTTTAATTTTTTAAAAATAGTACCAAATCAGTAAAACTCATTTTTAAAATGTTCATAATACCTTAACTCTTCGTAAATTCTATATGAATAGTGTTCACTATTTCAATGCCATTTGCAATATTTTTATAACTTAAAAAAAATCAGTATCCCTAATTTACAAACCTTTATCATATTAAATGAAATTCAAGTATAAACAATCAAAACTCAAATATATAAATATCTATGTGTGTGTGAATTACAGAGGCAGACATTTAAATTATCATTATAAAATCACTAATTTATTTGTGTGCATATGTGAGCATGTGCACGAAGGTCAGGGGACAGCTACAGAAATCGGTTCTTTTCTACCATATGGGCTCTGAGGATCAAACTCAGGTCATTAGGCTTGGCCACAGTACCACCTGCTGAGTCACCTCACTGGCCCTTAAATTATCTCCAAATAGGATGATTTTCAAAACCTTTGGTCCACTCAAATATATGTGCTATAAGTCAAACATTGAGAAAAACTGCGGGTAGGAAAAGTATATTTGCCAAGTTCTCCACATTCACAGATGTGCAAAATTAAAAACACATAAACCAGCCTATGTAAACACATGAGAAAATAAAATACAAAGCTAAAACTCCTTGGTCATCAATAAGGAGTGGAGGCATGACAGGAAGCAGTAGGGGGTAAAAGGCAGCAGAGGATGGAAAAAAACTCGCAGGAAGGAATTACCATTAGAAAGCACGTCACATGAGCGTATGTGTGCATGCTCCAGAAAGGCAGCCAAAATCTGGAAGATACCAAGTTTAAATTCAGAGGCTGCTGCCTCCTTTCAAATGATAATTGTTTTTTTCATGCTGCCCATACTCGAAAGAAACGTGTACCAACCTGAATAATTACAGAACTTCCCTGTGCTATTAGTGGTTGTTATAAAGATATGGTCATGTAAGTGAAACCAGCACTGAACTGAACTTGGTATTTCAAGCTGTGGATGAATTTAACACAGCAGAGGCATTTATACAGGAATTACTAATCAGAAAGCCTGTCCAAGTGTCATTCTAAATGGACTTAAGTTGAGCCCAGTAAAAGTGTGAAATCAGTTCCTTCCAATAATCAGAATTATTTTATAAGGAAAACTAATAATACTTATTTACATAAGTATTTAAAAATGAATACTATATCTGCACCCCTCAGATAGTGCTTGTAGAAGCTGCTGAAGGAGATGATTATAATTATTATATAATACTTAAGTGTTTTAGTGTTCTTTTACTAGTGGTGGTAGTGACAGAATTCATTATTATTGGAAGACAAACTTAAAAAGAGAACTTTATATGATTAAACACAATGAAAAATAGAATCAATCAATGGAAAAATACAGCTACTATAATCCCAAAAATAAGACATCTTTCTCATATACATTTTATCATTTTTGTTTTGTTTCATTTACCTGACGATGATGAAGCTAGTGAAGCTGAAGAAGTTGAGTCAAGAGGTGATGCAAACAAGGGGTCCCAAGCAAGGAAATCACTGGCTCCTTTCCTAGCACCCCATTTTAAAAGACGGGTTAGCAGATTATTTTATTAGCATTAAACCATTTATTTCTATTCCACAGAATTCTACAAGCTCAATAACTGTGATTAAATAGATGGGTACATGGAGAAATCTAGTCAACAGACTTAGCCAAGGGCATAAGCAGAATCTACAATATTAACTGTATTGTAGGCAAGGAAAGTCAGTTGTAAGGCTTGGTCTCCTTTGATCATACCTTGCTAGACTCAAATGAATATGAAATACAGTGATTTCAGATTTACAAATGAAGACAGGCAGCAGTCTAAATGAGCTACCCAATAGTTTCTAGCAGTCTTGAGTTTTAGCATAATCTAGAATAAAATTCAAACCAAGTGAAATATGTATGAAATTTTGAGTAGAATGTAAGCCTACTCTGCTAAAATTACCATGACCTAAAATCACATATTTAATATTTCAACATGCAGCAATGCAAATGTGTTCTACCTTGTACAATAAAACCTGTTATAATTACGTTAAGTGACATCCAAAGACTAAGCTTTAAACAACTTATCTCTAAAACCAAAAACAGCACCACTATATTTATTTTGTACCTCACAGGTAACAAATAATCTTTAACTATTAACTTTTATTCAGCTAAACTTTTACTGATGTTAAAACATTAACTCAAAGAAAGTACTCTTGGTGGTAGAGAAGTGAAAAGGGACTCATGGAACACTGGCTTAACAATTTTCTTTATTTCCCTTCTTTTTTAAGAGCAACAAAGATGACTATCTGGCTTCCAGCCTTTCTATCTTAATTGAGGTACTTCAGCTTGAAGCTCATGACATATGGTCCATTTCATAAGTCACAATCCAAAGGGAAGGGGAAAAAATGAAACACAGAAATGAGAAAACTTTTATTTAAAAAAAACCTGAAAACAGATGTGTATAAACCTAAGATATCAGCAGCCATTAAGAAGCAGTAGTAAGGCTCCCAAAGTCAAATGTAGTTAAGAAAAACAATCATAAAAAGACGTTTCATGTGAAAAGAAATTATTAAATATCTTAAAACCCCAACATGAATTTTACAGTTCAGAAAACAATACAACTAAAACTTAACTGTATAACTCTAGAAAAAGAGGACAAGGAAAATACAAAAAAAAATATAAATGTAGTTTTAAAAGAAGGAATGATTAAAGCATGAGATTTCATGCAATACAAATACTGATTACAATGCTACAGTATCAATCCTTTAAGAACTGCCCAAAGAGGAACAGTGGGAAAGATGGGGTAGGGAAAAAAAGTTACCCACACCCACAGAATGCACAAGATTAAAAGTATCCCCGCTAAACTATGTATTTTGGATGACAAGTGTCAAGATGTAACAAATGCACTAATCTGGTAAGGGACTTGAGGAGGAGGCTTGGCATATGTAAGGGTAGGGACTATATAAAGGTAATCTCTGCACCTTTCACCCAGTTTTGATCTTAACTTAAAATTGTTCGAAATAATAAAGTCTATTAAAAGAAATAAACAGCAAACTTACTCATTGGATAGAGAAGATGGTTTTGATTTTGTTAACTCTTCATCTAATTAAAAAAATTAAAATATTATTAAAAACTAATAATCCTAGAAGAAAAATATTTTAATTAAAAGATCCTCTATATACTACATATTCCAGTACTAAGAACAACTTACAAATTTTGTAATAGGAAAATTAAATACAAATGATTGTGGGGAAAAAAGGTAAACACGCTGAATTTCTGTTGATTCTTGATTTCTCTCATTAGCTTTATAGAACAAAACATAGACTGTTAACTTTAAAAAGTTTAAGAGCTGGGCATTATGGCTCAGGTCTGTACATAGTCTCAGCACTCAGGAGGCAGAGGTAGGTGTATCTCTGTGAGTTCAAGGGCAGCCTGGTCTACACAGTGAGTTCTAGGATTACATATAGAGATCTTATCTCGAAAAAAATAAATAAGTAATAAGAAAAATTAGAAGAAACATTTAAGTGCTTGTGTGCATTCTACTTAAGAATTTTAATTCATGAATCAGTTTACAAGCTCTCAGAACACTACTCGTGACTATTAAATAATCACCAGCAATGGTGAGCTACTGAAGGAGGTCCTGCTCTTTTTCTGCTACATTTTGTATTTGTGCCCTGTCTTATTTCATAAGCATCTGACAAGAACAGCATGGAATAAAATATCATGTCAGTGAATACAAACTTTTCCCACACTTTAAATGTTCTATATCCCCAAGCAACAAGAATGACTGCAGTGACTCAAAGTGGGTCCTGTCTGCAGCACATTACAGAGGAGCTAGCACACTGCTATTTGCACTAGTTTTCCCTCGGCTTATTCTGGATGTTTGCTCTGTCTCAACGTGTCTGGTGCATTATCTTCCATCTGACAGCAACTCCGCTTAGCCTACCTAGTTTTCTCTACAACCTCTATCATCAAATATTTTGTTTCAAGGGTAAAATCCTTACTTTTATTTTGGTATTTATCATTAATTCAATCGGTGTTATCAATTTTGCTAAACTTTTAATCAAGACTGATTCTTATTAAGCATTCTGTTTACAAAATTCCAAAAGCTTCCTGTTAAGTCTGATTTATAGCACATAATTCTGCAAAAAAATGTTGTCATCCTAAAATTTTTGATATTATAAACTTGTTATTTTGAAGTTATAAAATAGAAACTACAATTGTAATATGACTTTAAAATAAGTAAAGTTCAAGATTATTATTTTATAAAACATTTTCATAATCCCCTCTGCCAAAGTGCTGAGGTTTGAACCCAAGGGTTGTGTAAATACTAGGTTATATTAACAACTGAGCCATATCCCCAGTCCATTTTCATATTCTTAATCAGAAGGTTGTCTCTGGCTTTGTTGATTTCTAAGAAATTCTATAAGCTGCATGAAAGGCTAAGAAATGTCTCCTAATGCAACCAGAAATACTACAGGCAATTTTTTGCCTGTATAAAATACCCTTCTAGACAACCAGTGAGACTGGTAAAATGAAAAGAATATTACACAAGGCTGAGACTAACAAGCTGCCTAAGTTCTTACAGACATAAAATAATCAATCCCTATGTCAAACTTACTAGATGAATTCCGATTCATCTGCACCTAAAACAGAAATGCAAAAATTAAGTATTATTAAACAAATAGTTTAACTTGGTAACAAAATAGTTACCAAAATGTTGCTAATAAGAACCTAGTTTTATGTTGTCTTTATTGTAACTCCTTAGCAGTAAATTGCATTTATAAAAACTCTGTAGTTGTAATTGTACCTCTAAATATAAGCATGATTTCTATAGTATAATAATTGAATTCAGAATATAGAATACATGTACTTAATAAAATGTACTTAAAATGTTAAGACAGTATCTAATGCAAAATACCACAAAATTTACTAGTAATCCAAATTTAACAAAACTTTGAAAATCAAATGTTCAATTATACTAATTCTTTAAAAGTCAACTGGTGAAATATAAAGTCTGACACTTACTGGACTGTGCCTCTAGCAGTGCATGGGAAGGAAGAGAAAGACAGCGTTCAGTACAGAATTCAATTCCTTCTCAATACCACTTAAAATAAATACATCTAAAACACATGGTTAGAAGGAGAAATTATGCAAGTTAACCAAATGGGCAACAAAACAAATGCAAAGATAATCTTCCCAAATACAACATTGACTACTAAAATTTTTCTCTATTTACTTTCTGAGTATGAAGTAATACATATTCATTATAAAAGGTACATGAGACACAAAAGTTTTTTAAAATACTCATGACCTCAACTGCTTACAAAGAGATTTGTAACATTTTAATACATATCCATCTTTCTAAGTTTTGGCTCACCCATATTGTTAATTTGTACACAGATATTGGGGTTCAACATGAATATCAGCAAAGCAAAGTAGCCAACCACTAGAGAGACCTTTTACCTCTACCAAATCTTCAGACCGAAGGGGCGAGAGATTCTGTCTCCACGAATCCTTACACGCCACAATTCACTAAGTTGCTGTCTCTTCCCCCTTATGTTTCTCTCTCTGCCCAACCATATCACTCCTGTCTCCACCTCCCCAGTGCTGGGGTCAAAGATCTGCTGGGACCACCTCTGTGTGAACTGTTTCTCTTTTAGACAGAATCAATCTTGTGTAGCCCAGGGGGGGGGCTTTGTCTCCTGAGTCCCGAAAATAAAGGTGTGTGCCACCATTCTCTGGTCTGTATGGCTGCTTTACCCACTGAACTTCAGGCAAGCTTTATTTATTAAAACACAAATAATATATCACTATATTAATTAGTTGTGCTGTTATCCAATTAAAAACTGTCAATGGCTCACAATTCTCTACTTCACATATACAAGTCTCTTTATAACTACATAACAGTCAATGTTAAAATAGTAATAACAAGACTAAAATCCCACTATTGAAATCTTTGAGGCATGCTCTTGAGAATTAAATTATAGAACCATTTTCCTTCATTGAAAATTATTTCCTTTTTCCCTCCCCTTCCTGTGTTACTGGGTATCAAACCAAGGGCATAGTGTTTGCCTGGCAGATGTTCTACCCATGATTTGATACCCAAGAATATGAGTACATGTATAAGAGAAAAACTTTCACCTTCAAAACATATGTATATATAGACTACTATATATTATACAGAATATATACTTAAGGCCAGGGGTGGTGGCATATGCCTTTAATCGTAGCAGTCAGGAGAAGACATGGGCAGATCTCTGTGAATTCAAGGCCAGCATGGTCTACATGTCATATACCAGGTCAGACTGTCTCAAAAATAAATTAAAATTTAAAAAAATAAATCAAAACACGCATAGAAATTAGATATCATAAAATGGCAAGAACTTCATTATTAAGAAAACCAACTTTTAAACAATGACAATATGCATACACACACACTTCTCATTCTAAAACATGATTTTCCCCCTTTTTTTAAACTTCTGAATTCATAATATATATTATCAGTGTATTTATGACTTTAGGGTTTTTTTTATTTTATCACTATTGTGTGTGTATGATGCATGTGTGTATGGATGCAGGCACACATGTGGGCGGGAACCAGAAGACAACTTTTGAAAGTCAGTTCACTCTTGGACTTGAGCTCACATAGCAGGTATTCTTAACAGCTGAGACATCTCAATGGTTCATTTTATTTCTTCCTCAAACGCAAATCTTACAGTGAAAGACAAGAAAATAAAAATGCAAAGAAGAGCCAGGAATGTCACTCAGTGGTAAAATATTTGCACAGCATAAGTCAGGGCCTGGATACAATCTCCACCAACTGGGGGGGGGGGGGGGAATCAATCTTTAAGCTGATTTTCAATACATTTTTTTACATTAGAGTTGAAAACACAAGAGTAAAACCTTTGAAATTAGATGAGGAAAACAATTAACTTTTCACAATCTTTTATCAGATACACACAGCAGTATTTATAGATGTAACAAATAACGAAAAGTTCTTCATTTTCACACACACAAAAAACTTTTTATGTGTATTGGAGTTTTGTCTGCATGTGTGTCTGTGTGAGGGGGCTAGATCCCCTGGAAATAGGTTACTGACACTTAAGAGCTGTCAAGTGGGTACTGGGATTGAATCTGGGTCCTCTGGAAGAGCAGTCAGTGCTCTTAAGCGCTGAATCATCTCTCCAGCTAATACATTTTCACTTTTCTTAAAAATGTTTTCAAGAGTACAACTAAGCCAAATCAGTGACCTCATTTGTCTATACAAAAATTATAAGCTGAGCTGGAGAGAGGGCTCAACAGTTGCAAGCATTGGTGCTTTTCTAGAAGATCCAGATTCAGTTCTTAGCACCCACATGACAGCTCACAACTGTCTGTAACTCCAGTTCCAGAGCATCTAACTCCCCTTCTGCCTTCTTTGGACACTTCATACACATGGTACACAGACATATATGCAAGCAAATAGCCACATACGTAACAGCTCTGGGAAACAAAAAAAAAAATAAAGGGGGGGCAATTATTGGGGATTTAATGATACAGCACTTGCCTAGCAAGCACGGAGCTCTGGGTTTAGTCCTTGGCTCTAGGGGGTGTAGGGTGAGAGGGAAACCGGACACATATACCACATGGACAACAAAATAAAACTTACACATACAAAATTTTAAAAAAACAAACAAATCTTTTGTAAAAAGCACAAAATAGCCAGGTAGTGGTATTACACACCTTTAATCCCAGCACTCAGGAGGCAGAAGCAGGTGGATCTCTGTGAGCTCAAGGCCAGCATGGTCAACACAGAGAGTTCAAGAACAGCCAGGGCTACCCAAAGAAACCCCGTCTTAAAAAACACATAGATAGATAGATAGACAGACAGACAGACAGACAGACAGACAGACAGAGAGACAGACAGATCGACCGACCGACCGACAGATGTACTGTTGCTCAATGTTTTAGTTTTTTGTTTTTTTTTAACTTATTTACTACTCTTAAAATTAACCATGGTGTGGTATCTCAGCAGGTTAAAGAATAAGTACCTGTCACACACATAGCATGACAACCTGAGTCTGATCCCCAGAATCCATGATAAGATAAAGTGAAGGAACTGACTCAACAAAGTTGTCCTGATTACCACATATACCTTGTGGCTCATGTACACAGACCCCTCTACACACATCATACACATACACAAGTACACAGAAATAAAAAAATATTTTTAGAAAAGTAACCGGCTATCGGTAGATGAGGAAAGATAAACAAGGATTCGATGTACAGGACAAAGAAGCTCGTGTTCAGATACTTACAGATACTGCTGGAGAAAGTGTTATATTCCCTATGGAGACTTTTAGTTCATCCAAAGAAGCCATGGTGTGGTGCAGGTTATTTGGGTGCACAGGCTTGATCTCTATCCGGTACCTCTTTGGTTCTTCATCTTCAGAGTCAGAATCACTGGATGAGTAGAAGTGGTTCTCTTTGGTATGTGGGTATGAATTAAAGAATTTAGTTTAACCTACTAACTTATCATGAATAGCTAGCTGGTTTTCCACATATGTACAAAAAAAGAAGAGGGCCTTACAAGAATAACATATAGAGACAAGAATAAAACTACTAGCTTTAAGTAAAAAAGCATATAAAATGAAGAACAGTCATATTTCAGTTAATTAAAACAGAAAAGGCTTTAAGTAGTACACTAATTCTATAGCTATGCTATCAACAAATACACTAACAACACCCAGATCATAAAAGGATATCATTCTGATTTGTTTCTGGTTTAATACTATAACCTTCTTCATCTACATCAGGAATATTCTAGGAAAAAAAATTGTAAAGAGTTAATATAATGACAATACCAATATTCAGACACTAAAGATTAACAAACAATTATAGTCTAAGATATTGCTGAGAGCCAGGTGTGGTATGCACACCTTTAATCCTATTAATCCTAGTCTTAGGAGGCAGGGGGGGGCAAGTCTATGAGTTCCAGGCCATGTGCTACAGAGTAAGTTCCAGGACAGATAGAGCTTCTTCAAAAACACCAACAAAAAAAAAAAAAAAAAAAAGAAAAGAAAAAAGAAAGAAGAAGAAGGAGGAGGAGGAGGAGGAGAGAGGAGGGAGGAAAACTAAATCATTTAATCAAACACCAAGAAATAAATCTCTTCAGTTATTAATTAGCTTCAAATCATAATCCATGCCTCAAAATTCTGAAGAAAAACCTGCTACATGCAAGAGGAGTCACAATTCATAATTTCAGAGCAAGAAATTGCCAAGGTGGGGTAAAAGACATGATTCAATGGCTAAGAGCACATACTGTTTGGCTAGAGAACCTCAATCTGGTTCCCAACATCCACATCAGGCAGCTTACAACTTCCTCTAACTCCAACTCAAGAGGATCTGACACCCCAGTCTCACAACTGAGGGCACCTGCATATACATGCATGAATTCCCATATAGACAGATATATGTACACGCACACACGCACACACACGCGCGCGCACACACACACACACAAAATTAATTTTAAAAATGAAAGCCTAGGTGAAAGCCCATTCAGAATGCTCATGATTGACATTTCTGTTAAAATAAGGAATAAGTGACTTTTAAAAACCTATGGTCAGGCTAAATAGTCGCTCAATGCCATAAGAAGCTATACGAAAATACAAGACATAGTGCTTCTTTAGAGCAGATTAAAGTCTTGGCTAGTCAATGAACAACCTAATATAGTGAATCAATATTAAAAAATAAAAAAATAAAAAAAATCACCATGTGCATCCAGGGGAGATAAAACAAAATCCATTGAATCTAAGTCTGATCAAGACTACAGAACTAAGTGGCAATTAATATAACACAGAGAAGTGAAACAATTCACTATGGTAATGCAGTCAGCAAAATCCAGGCTATAGGAAACTACAAACCACTTAGTCTCTTCAGCAAATAACTAGAAAGTTAAACAGAGCGAGAGTGGGAGACAGAGATAGGATTGCTGAAGACAGACTAGACATCCCAAAAAACTCAAATTGCAATAAAGCATTACAAGACAATAATAAAACTACACATAGGCTGAAAAGCCATTTTCTAAGAGTTGGTTTCTGGATCTACCTGCAGATAGTAACTATAAAGTGTGGTGAAAACATATAAAACTATCTGAAGGTAGTGAAAAGTAACTCAGGGCAAGCATTAAAAAGCTCTAAACGATTCACCCAATTTCAATTTCAAAAAAAATTAAAGACATTTGTACTCCTAGGTTTACTGCAATGCTATTTTCAATAGACAGACATGGAATTAAGCATGGTACCCATCAGCAGAAGGATGGGTAAATAAAATACAATACACAGACACAGTGGAATAGCATTCAACAACAGACTTAAAAACAATGAATCTTATCATGTGCAGCTACAGGGAACAGGTCGAAGGAAATTATGCTAAATGATTTATCAGACACAGAAAGACAAATATTCCACATTTTGATTTAATGTGTAGAAGCTAAAGAAATATTTGAGAAATAATTCACTGGCCTAAGCCAATGATTCTGATCTGCTCTTAGACTCTGTATACACATACTAAAAATATCAAATGATATCTTAAAAGTATGTATGATTATTTTACCAACTAAAAACAATATATTTCAAAAAATTTTAATGAAATACATTTTAATTAATAAATTAAAAAACATATTTACTACTATAATTAATTAATTAAAGAGACTGGTAGAACAAATGAAATATACTTGATTCAATGATCCAATGTTTATAATAAGGTCAATGCAAATTTGAATAGATTGAAAGAATAGAAAAACAATACAACATACAAACAAAAATAAGAAAGGCTAAAGTGGCTATCTTAATATTGAATTTCAGAAATAAAATTATCAACCATAAAAAGTCGTCTATATAAAAACCTGTTCACATTGTTCACAGAAAGTTTATTTCTTTTTTTCTTTCTTCTTCTTTTGTTTTTCTGACACAGGGTTTCTCTGTGTAGCTTTGGAGATCACTCTGTAGACCAGGCTGACCTTGAACTCAGAGATCTGCCTGAGTCTGACTCCCAAGTCCTGGGATTAAAGGCGTGTGCCACCACTGCCTGGCTAGAAAGCCTATTTCTAACAGTACAAAAAAAAAGAAAAAAGAAAAAAAACAAAAACAAAACAAACAAAATAACATAGAAAGAAATTGTGGTATTACTAAGCAACAAAAGAAATGAATTTATCATGCCTACAACCTGGATGAACCTTCTGAGAACTAGGTAGAGTTGAAAAGCCAATCTGCAAAGGCTACTTAATGTAATCCCTTTATATAACTGTATTGGATAGGTTCTTAAAAAAAACAAAAACAAAACAAAACATGGTGTTGGAGAAATGGGTCAGTGGCTAAGAGCATCTCCTGTTCTTCCAGAGAACCCAAGTTTAGTGCCCAGTGAGTAACTACCTTCTGCAACTCCAGCTCCAGGAGGGCATCAAAGACCCTGTTCTGACTGCTGCTAAAGCATCTACATACATAAGGCAAATCCAGACAAATACACACACACTTAAAAGACAACAACAAACTGAGTTAGTTACTTAAGTTTTACAAATGCTGGAAATACTCAGAATGTTAATGCTAATAAAAACATACAGATAACATGACATATCTTCATTCAACTCATGGCTTCTATACTTCAGCTCTCACTACTGGAATGAAGTATTTTGTCAATAACAATATGGAAGAACAGAACACTTTAAAATAAAGTTGTGGAAGTAATGGTTACTAAAATAGCACTGTGGCCAGATGTGGCAGCCCACACCTTTGATCCCAGCACCCAGACAGATCTCTGAGTTCAAGGCCAGCCTGATCTCCAGAGTAAGTTCCAGGACAGCCAGAGTTATGAAGAGAAACACTGTCCGAGCAGAGGGGGCACAAAACAAAACAAAACAATAAACACTGCACATATCTGTAATCTCACCACTAGGGAATATGAGGCAAAATGTGAATTCAACCAACCAACCAATCAAACAAGGTGAATATACTGTGAGGGAGCTTAAGAGTCAATGCAAAGTTTCATAATCTCTGCTTGGGGACCATGGCCCCAAGAAAGCAATCTATACTCCCTGAAGTAACCCCCTAAAGATGTAGTACATCAAATGAGTTTTCAAATTACAAATGTATTGTAAAAAGAAACAGGAAATGAACAATATTTTACCTATAAAACAGCTTATTGATGTTTTTAAAAAATAAATAAAAGAGTCAAGCACACGCCTTTAATCCCAGCACATGGAAGGCAAAGGTAGGTGTATCTCTTGTGAGTTTGAGGCCAGACTGATCTACAATGTAAATTTCAGAACAGCTAGAGCTATGTACAGAGACCTAAAATAAAATAAATAGAAGATAAGGCCATGAACAGTTCATATGTAAATAACAACTGGTCATAAACAAATGAAGCAACAAAACAGTAAGTATCCTTTCCTGACTGTAATTGGGGTAGTTATTCTGTCCAAAGTAACCAACTACAGTTACTTTTTGACAGGTTTTATTTTTGATATCACACTTAGTTTTAATAAATTCTTTCCACATGAAAAGATATAAATATAGATCAACTTAATTCTTTTTAAGCTCTGCCTATATAAAAATTTATTTAACCAGTTCTTGTTTGTTGAGTATTTTGCTAAGGTTTTCTTAACATAAATTCTGAAAAATAAAAACATATCTATCCCCCTCTTCAGTTTCTGTAATGCATGTACCTCAATCAAGAGGATGTATGTATATACTGTAGATATTTACAGATTTTATATGAATACAGTCATAACAGTAAATACTGAGCAGAAAGCTGTTAGTTTAAAAATAACATATATTTCTTATTTGGAGAGATACTGTCAAATTATCCAGAAAACAGACTGCCCCAATTTATATATAATACATATATATAAAATGCATATACAATATATATGTATATACTATATAATATATAAAATAAATATAATGCATGTGTATATAAACATTTCTGTCGATATTACAAAAAATTGCCTGTTTAATTTGCATCATCTCTAAATAATATTCATTATGGTTATTCACTACTTAAAGAAAACTGCTTTGTTTCTACCTATATCCTTTTCCTGAGAAACAATTGCTTAGGTAGCAAACTGATTTATACAAAAAAATTAAAGTCTCTTTATTGTTAGTATCCTTTAATATGCACTGTCAATATGATGATACAAAACCCTTTACGGAAGATACATTTTTCTAACTTGACAAATTTTTTATTCCTACAATCAAATTTACCAATCTCTTCTTCCATGGTATTAGAACATCATATTCTCTTTAGCCTTTTCTTAAAGGCTAATAATTATACTATAAAATTGGATAATGATCTTTGTGTCACCTAGCTGAAACAATTAAAAAGTTAAGAGAATATATATATATATATATATATATATATATATATATAATATTTATTGAGCCCTACATCTTTATTGAGCTCTACATTTTTCTCGGCTCTCCTCCCTTCCTCTCTCCTCCCCTTCTATCCGCTCCCATGGTCCCCATGCTCCCAATTTACTCAGGAGATCTTGTCATTTTCTACTTCCCATGTAGATTAGATCCATATAGGTCTCTCTTAGGGTTCTCTTGTTGTCTAGGTTCTCTGGGACTGTGATCTGTAGGCTGGTTTTCTTAGCTTTATGTTAAAAAACCACTTATGAGTGAGTACATATAATAACTGTCTTTTGGGGTCTGGATTACCTCACTCAATGTTTAAGATAGCAAAAGGTCTAATTAAAATTTGTAACCATCAAACAGTATAAATAACTTCAAAATAAATACATGATAAAAGCTACAGTAAATATCAAACGCACCTGCTAACTTCATTAATCGGTTAAGCTTCTCTGATGATTTTTTTACTCTTTAATTTTAACATACATTTCTAAAATATCTGTTTATTAGTTTTATTTGTGTGTATGTCAGTGTGTCTGCATGAGTTTATGTGTACCATGTGTGTACAGATGAAGAGGGGACCTGAGGGCACAGGATACCCTAGAACTGGAGTTTCAGACAGTTGTGAAGTTATCTGAAGTCGGGGCTAGGAACCAAATGCAGGTCTTTTGCGAGAGCAGTACATGCTCTGAACCACTGAGCTATATTATATCTCCAACATCAATTTTCAAATAAGGCTATTAATAAACCACAGCTTTCTTACTTAAAAGCTGAAACAGAAAATACTAGTTTATCTATGTTACATAAGAGACAATGTTTTATCAAAATACTTTCATTTCTTTGTTACACTACATCATTTAAGATTAAAATGTTTTGAAGCATATAAAGAAACCAAAACACAGAATATTCAAACTCCTGCACTTATCAACACAATCAGTGTCTGATAATAACTGTAACTATTACACATTACCTGCAGCATTTCCTAAGTCTACTCGTGCATTAAGCCCACTGGGAGTTTAACTTGTTAACTACTTTAATTACTTATAAAAAGTACATATAACCAAGATATAGAAACAAATCTTAGAAACACACAAACACAACAGAAAAATACTGACCATAATTATTGCTGCTATAGTTTCTAAAATGATGTCTTAAACCAGATACATAAACAGGTAAAACTATCTTTTAAGATGGGCAGTGGTGGCACACGCCTTTAATCCCAGCACTCAGGAGGCAGAGTCAGGTGGATCTCTGTGAGTTCAAGACCAGCCTAGTCTACAGAGAGAGTTCCAGGATAGCCAGGGCTGCACAGAGAAAGCCTGTCTTAAAAAACAAAAATAAAAATAAAAAAAGAGGAAGAAAGAAAAAAGACTACCTTAAAAAAAACAAAAATAAATACAAAACCCAAGTTAATAAAGGTTTCTCATTTGTAAGGGATGACATAGTGCCACACTAATTTTAAAAGTAAAATCCATTTCTCACAATGAGAAGTGTCTTCAGTTTAGCAGAAAAGTATACTATAATGTAAAACTGAAATGCACCTTTATAATTATTTGGGCAACAAATTATTACATGGTATTTTTCTTTGAAGATTGATAAAAATGTCAAATATGTTTTTTTCTAATGAAAATACTCTAAATTGTCTGTAATTAAAATTACTTACAAGTGAATCTGCATCAGGACATTCCCTGTTTAAAAAAAAGACAAAGAAAAATGAAGTATTGAAAGATTCAATTATTAAAACTATCTGCTAATTAGATCATATTTAGGGTAGCTTAATAGTTAAATATAGCTTTTGCTTGAATTTTACAAAAATATTTTGAGAAACAAAGTAATGAAGATTAAATAATATCAACTTATTTTAAAATTTTAAAATTCAAAAGTGGACATTCTCATCTCAAAAATAACTGTTAAACATGAACAGCTCCCTCACACATAATCTAAAATGCTTGTAGGTGCACTTCTTTTCTAGGAACATACTTACTCAGTGCGATAACAAAGCTGTCTGTTCTGCAGGGCTGTCTAGCAATAGACATTTTTAAAACTTTGTTGAGGGGGAGAGATCATAGGACAAACTGCAGAACTGGCTTCCATTTTTCTACATGAGGGTCCTGGGCACATCAGCTTCTGTCTAAAATGTCTTCAAATTTTAACATAGTAAATGAGAAAAAGTTACCATGAACTAAAACCAGAGAAACTGGCAAATCTAGTCATTTAAAAGAGTTTTTTCTTCTTCCAATTTAGACATACATTTTGAATACTTTCAAAAGGACCTTTTCTTTTCAAAATCAAAGCAATTCATAGTCACTCAGAAACAATGAAAAGGATTTGGGTAATATTAAAAATACTTACACAGACTCTGTATCCTTGTCCTTCTTAATTATTCCAGGCAAAGCAAAAGTCTTTCTTTTCCTTGGTTTTATGCCTTTAACAAAAATACACATTGTAACAGAAATGCAACTGTTCTTGGTAAGGATTTAAAGCACAAAACTCAGACAAATTTTTGTGACAAGCAAACTCGGGACGAAAGAAATAATAAGCATCTTCAGGAGTGGTGGTGTACACCTGTAATCCTAGCACTCTGGAAGCTGGAGCAGAAGGGTTTTAAGCTTGTTGGTAGCCTAGGATACATGGCAAAACTTTTTTATCCCCAAAATCCTAATAAATGAATGAATAAATGGATGAATCAATGAGCAAACAAATGACATAAAAAGCATCAATTAGTAAAGCCTTCAACTTATATTAAGAGTCTGTTTCAACTTTTATGTAATGCAATATGGCTCATTATAGGATTATAGAATATTCACTTAAAGAAATTCTCTTCTTCTGGTAAATATTCCCTCAGTAACTTCAGGAAAAATGAGCATATGAAGATATACTAAAACTCAAAAGAAAAAAATTGGCACTTTAATACCAGCACTTGGGAGGCAGAGGCAGGTGAATCTCTATGAGTTCGAGGCCAGCCTGGTCTACAGAGTGAGTTCCAGGCCAGCAAGGCTGTTACACAGGGGTAAAAAAGTACGTAATTCATTGCATGTATTTTTAAAAGTATTATCTTAGGTTACATGGGTGGCTCACTAGTAGAGTACAAGCTAGATCCTGGGTTCATTATCTGAGACCATTAAACGTATGTGTTTTAGCACTGTGCTATAACATCAATAGAAAGCAGTCCCTTTCTATCTGTTCAACAAGCAGAAGACACTAGTTCCCATATAGTATATTACATATATATATTACTTACCTTCAACTGCACTAGCAGGGTCACACTCTTCAAATTCAATAAGGCCTAGGTAGAAAAAAAAAACTTGCTTTAAAAAATAATTACCAGACAAACTATTTTAACTTTAATAATTTAATTGGAAATGCCTAACTTTTTATTTATGGACTATATGTGTCTTTCTGATATGTGAGTGCAGGTACACATGTGGAAGTCAGGGTTTGTTCTTTCCATTTTGCTGAGGAAGGGCTTCCATGTATCTTCTGTACTTTGTACTCCAGGTTGGCTTGAGAGAATAAATACGCATGCACACCACTGCATAAGCTTTCTATTCAGGTTATCAGGCTTGAGCTGCAAGTGCTTCTAGCTGCTAAGTCATCTCACCAGACTGACAAGATACTCTTTATAAATCATGCTATAACATGTGCTGTTACTGTATAGGTCAAAGAGCGAGAGAGCTGGCGGTTACATACAGAGGTCAGAGAACAACTTTCAGGAACTGCTTCTTCCACCCTGGTCCCAAAGATCAAATTCAGGTTGCCAGGCTTGTATATTTTTACCTGCTGAGTCATCTCACTGGGCCTCATAATAATTTTTTAAAGTATTTATTTTTATTATGTGTGAATACCCGCATGTGTGGATATATACCATAGACATGTCTGGAGCCTGAGGAATCCAGAAGAGGGTGTCAGATTCCCCCTGGAATTGGAGTTACAGACAATTATGAGCTGTCACGTGGGTGCTGGAAACAAAATTCAGGTCATCTGAAAGAGCAGCAGTGCTCTTAACTGTTGAGCCATCTCTCCAGCCCCTCCGTAATAATTCTTGATTAAATGACTCTAACTAAAAACAACCAAAAAAAAAAAAAAAAAAGGAAAAAGTAAGGGTTGGGAAAATGGCTCATCAGGTTGATGTCTGTCACCAAGCGTAGCCACCCATGTTTGATCTCTGGGCCGTATGTGGTAGAAATGATGGAAGGGGTGGGGTAGAGAAGAACTGACTTCTGTAGTTTTTCTCTGACTTCTGTAGTTTTTTTGTGGAGATAATCCACAAGTACACCATGAGGTGCATGCCCTCCCCACAATAAATGAATGTAAATTAAAAGCTGAGACTACTAATACAGTACTTTACTAGAAACGCTTTCTAAAGTTATACCACAGAACACACGCAGTTTCTGTTTTCAAGGACCTTGCAGCACCTTTACTGGAGAAAACAAGTAATAAGAGGCAGGCGCCGAATCCTTGGCTATGTTCATGGGAAAGGAGAAAAACACAGAAAAATCGTACTAGAGGACAAGCTTGGCACCTTATCTGTTCCATTCTTTATTCTATCAATATCTAGAATTATGCTTAGGAAACACTGTCTTCAGTTACATAAATAATTACATCCTCATTAAGGTAGTCACCCTAGGACCAAAAATCTCAACCTCTAATTGTATTAGAAGGCCAAGATATTTTAAGTGCAGGTTACAGGCAACGGAAAGACTTGTTTGTTTGAGACAGGGTCTTAATTATGTAGCTCTGGCTGAGCTGAAACTCACTATTTAGACCAGCCTGGCCTGAAACTCAAGAGATTCACCTGCTTCTGCCTATCAAATGATGGGATTAAAGGTGTGCACCACCACATTTCACTTAATGGAAATATTTTTAATGTGAAAAGGACATTCATACACATAGCCTGGCAAGGTGGTATGACAGAAAAATTAATTAAGGATGGATATACTACAGAATAAAAAATGATAAAGCAAACTCAGACAGAAAGTAATTAATTAAAATGGCCCTAAAATAACAGAGCTGCAGGCTAGCTTTACAGGCTAGCTTTAATTCCATGATTAAGGAATGTTTCATATATGAAGTAACGAACGGTTTAAGTGATAGTAAAAGCAACAAATGGCCTGAATTATTCTCCTCCTAAAATACTTCAGTTAAACATCACACTAAAAATTATCTCTCTCCCTATGTTAGCTGTCATTTGTAATATTTAAGATTATAAAAGTTCAGTGTATTTTATGAAATAATGTATGAGTGGCAACTGATATAACCTTCATTAAGAAATTTATAAAAAGAGACCAACTTAAAGAGACAATGATAGATTTCCTTCCTTGTTCTTCTGAGATGTTACACTTAACTATGTGCTAATTGATGACCAGAGTTCTTGTTAATGACTTAATACAAAATATTTCTCTAAAAACAGACTAAATGTTCCCTCTCCCTTATCACAAATCTAAAGTTTCTTTTTCTTTAGGTCTTGTTTTTCTTCAAATCAGATAACCTCTGCTTATTCCCAGAATAACTAAAATAGTTCACAAAAAGAGCTAGTAAAGTCCTAACCAATTAACTATTAACATCTTCATTTCTACATAAATATTCTGTAACCTGTGACTAAGAAAACTTTTATCACTTATACTCAAAATAGTCTTAAAAGGTCAAATAAACTAAGGATATTATGTAAACACACACTACAGACCTGGAAAGTGGGCAATCACTTAATAAAAGGACCTAGGGCTTGTCCTTAGAATCATTTAGAGATCTGCTAATATTACGATGAGATGAAAACTGACAGGAAGATCAATAAAGGTAAGGAACTAAAGTATGCCCATCAAATAATCAGCTTTTTTGGCCTATAAATTACAAAGAGAAAATCTATCAACCCAATGAATTCACCCAAACTAATTTGGATCAGAATCTTTAAGAAATATTACAAAAGAAAAAACAAACTCATTAATCTTTAATCACCAAAATGTTTTGTTAAATGAGGTTGAATATAAAGTATGTAACTAACAATTCACACTATCCTGAAATTAATCCTAAATCTCAAGTCATCAACAGCAAATTTACAACTGTCACATTATAAACTGCCTTAAGGGGCTAGAGAGAAGCTTGGTGGTTAAGAGTACTTATGTTCTTGCAAAAACCTGGGTTCAGTTCCTACCATCCTCATGGTGGCTCACAATCCCTATTATTCCAATTCCAGTACATCTGGTTGCAAGTAATTTAATGCTACAGTTTCTCAATAGTCAATGAAAGCTAAATGAGCTGAGGAACATTAACTAAAAGAAAATGAATTAAAAAATAGTCCCCAAACTAGAGCAGTAAAAACAAAATTTCTAAGGTGACATATTTGTAATTTATTTTTTTCTTAAATGGAGCTCTCTATTTTTAAAATTTTATTTATTTATTATGTATACAGTGTTCTGCCTGCATGTATACCTGCAGGCCAGAAAAGGGCACCATATCTCATTACAGATGGTTGTGAGTTACAATGTGGTTGCTGGGAATTGAACTCAGGACTTCTGGAAAAGCAGTCAGTATTCTTAACCGCTGAGCCATCCATCTCTCCAGCCCCCCACATTTGTAATTAAAAAAAAATCTTATTATAGTCTTAATTTGAGCATCCTTCATAATTAACAAAGTTCTGTGACTTTTATTTATTTTTCTGCCATTCACCTATTTTCTTTGAAGTACCCAAATATTTAAATTTTTTGTTATTGTTGTTTTGTGTATTTTGGACCAGGCACGGAGGCACATGCCTTTAAGCCCAGCATTTACAGGCAGAGACAAGCAGATCTAATAAGTTCTAGGCCAGCCAGGTCTACATAATAGAGTTCCAGCCCAGCCAAAGCTACTTAGTGCCTCAAACACAGAAAAGACAAAACAAAACACCATTGTTTTTAGGTACAGTGGCACATACTTGTAGTCTTACCATTTAAGAAAGCTGAGGAAGAATTATCTGCAATTTGAGGCCAGCCTGGGCTGTATACAGTAAAAGTCTATCTCAAAAGTTAACTAATTGAAAGTAAAATTAATAGAGCTGAGGTGGCAAAGCCTTTAGCCCCAAGACTCTAGATGCAGAGGCATGCAGATCTCTGAGTGGGAGTCCAGTCTGTTCAGCAAGGAAAACCCCAGGCTAGTCAGGGCTATATAACTAAAACTTGACTCAAAATAGAATAAAATAAAAATTAGAAATAATGGCTAGTGCATAAAATGGCTGGGCAGGTAAAGGGCTGGCTGCCAAACCTGACAATCTGAGTTCAATTCCCAGGATCAAAAGACAGAAGCAGAGAATCAACTCCCTCAAGTTGGACATACACACACAATAAATGAATGTAAAATTACAAGATTTATACATCTTTATTTTCAAAAAAAAGTTTTAAATTATTTATCCAAACATTTTCAGTACCTATATGAACTCCAATAAACTGATTTTCATCTTTGGGTAACAATGCAATCTATTCATTACTTAATACTTGCTCAAGTCATTCTAGCTATGACCACTGGGAGCTTTTCTAGTTGTCTGGTTTTTCGAGACAGGGTTTCTCTACATAACCCTGGCTATCCTGGAACTCACTCTGTAGACTAGGCTAGCCTTGAACTCAGAAACTCACCTGCATCTGCCTCTCAAGTGCTGAGCTTAAATGCAAGGACCACCACATACTAAACAAATACTTCAATATGACACCAAGCTTTACTGGTGAAGCAGGCATGAAATAACAGCACTTAGGAAGCTGAGGCAAGAGAATTGAGTTCAATGCCTATCTGGGCCACACAGTGAATTCTAATAAAAACAAGGCTGGGTAATATAGCTCAGTGGTACAGCAGCTTGTCTAGTATGTGACAGGCCCTGGATTCCACCAATAATAACACAAAAAAATATTTTTAAACTAACATCAAGGGCTGCAGAGATGGCTCAGAGGTTAAGGGCCCTGACTGAGTTCTGTTCCCAGCAACCGTGGCTCACAACCATCTATAATGAGATCTGGTGCCCTCTTCTGGCTTGCAGGGATGCATGCAGGCAGAACACTATATACATAATAAATAAATCTTTTTAAAAAACAACAAAAGCATAAAACATAAAAATATGAAATCTGGTAAACTGGACTTGATCAAAATTAACTTTTGTTTTTCAAAATGACAAAGGGGCTAGAGAGACGGTTCAGTGTTTAAGAGCACTGGCTGTTCTTCCAGAGGACCTGGGTTCAATTCCCAGCACCCTCACAGCAGCTCACAACTGTCTGCAATGATGTGATACTTCTTCTGGCCTCCAAGAGCACCAGGCAGACACACAGTCCA